TGTCTTGGTAATTCACTTCTTGTGTGATAAGAGAGAGTAGGAAATCAGTATAGTGTCAGGCCTGTGATTATTCTTGTGGATATCCTACATTTGGAGGGGTGGGAGATGGAACTTTGCTAGTGGCAGTCAAGACTGCTTTTGGGATGAACTGTGGAGCTGTAGAAAAAGAATGCAAAAAGAGAAAATGTAGAGGAGACATGAAAACTGTCTGGAAAGCATTTGAGAATTTTTGTAGTTAAAATATTCTGCTGTGGTCCCTTGTTGACTATTGACACTTTTGAATTTATTTATTTATTTATTTATTTATTTATTTATTTATTTATTTATACCCCGCCTATCTAGTCATTTCGACCACTCTAGGCGGTGAATTTGGTGACATTCCTTTTGCTTCACCATAGAAGTACTTAGACTCACAAAGGTAAATAGCTTCATGTTCCCTAGGAAGTCCACCCCTTTCTCATTGCTTGTCATTTAAGGTCTCAATAACTCACTCTGACAATTGTAGGAGAAAGAATAAGAATGTTTCATTACCAATTGCAAACATATCAACATCAAGCTAACAATAATGCTTCCAACAGACTGAAGAGAAGGGAAAAATTCTCAGGAGAGTTGGGGCTGTCCTTGAATTCAGAGACAAGAAGAACTGAATGGTTAGCACTAAATAGATTGACTGTCACCAGCCCAAAAAGGTCCCTGCCAGTCACATCTACTAGAGGCAGCATGAGAGATTGTAAAAATTCCAAATCCCTTCTCAAACTTGCATGCATCCACCCTCTTGAAGTCCCATCTTGCTATGCAAGTTGTGGAAGCACTCTCTCAGAAGTGGCTAGATTGGATGTCCGCTGTCCTCTCTGTGGTGTAAAAGAAGACCATCTCAATGATGCCTTTCTCAGTCAGGCCATGAACCAAGTGGTATCTCACACCAGTGTGTTTGGTGTGGGCATTCATTTTCTCATTTTGCGATAGTAAGATGCAGGTCTGGGTGTTTTACATCGCTCAGATCAGCATCTCTCCGTTTATCCCAAAGTCATGCAGCAGCTTCTCCAATCACGGCAGTTCTCTGCATGCTTCAACTGCTGCAATGAATTTACTCTGTGGAAGACAAAGCTAATACAACTTGTTTCTAACTAGCCAGTGATATAGAACTATTACCATACATGAACAGGAAACCGCTAGTGAAATAATAAGATCTTTACTATACTCTGCCCGTTCTGCATCAGTCTACCCTACAAGCTTTAGCTGGCGTTTTTAACTTGAAGACCACAATCCCTTTCAAATATCTAGCTACCCTCTTTACAGCTATCCATTCATTCTGTCAGTATATTTCTGGTCAACTTGGTTTGTAAATCTGTGGAGGAAAGGCAGTTTGATGATAAATAAATATCTGGGAGGTGGAGAAGAGCTTTCAGCTGCGTACGTATTTATCCTCCACCTTCCACAGTAATTCCCAGAGTGACTTGCAGTAGCAAAAGCCATAAAAATTAATATAATTGAACTCATTTAAAACCAGAAAAAGATTTTGTATGACTGATAATTAATTATCAGAGTCATCATTAACAAAATAAGGTGAATAAAAAAGCTTCCTTAAAAAAGCCCACCTTCTCTAGGTGGCAGAAACAAGAAAGAGAGAAATGTGTGTATATGTGTTTGTGTGAGAGAATGGAAGACAATGAGGAAGAGAATTCTACCACAGAAGTGGGGCCATAGAAAATGACAATTTGGTCTGCAGGGATTGTTTTTTAAAGGGCCAATGCATTGTGGCTTGTCAGCAACACGTGTGTGTATAACCCATTGTAACACTGGGTGTCTATATGTGTACATCAAAATGATAAATAAATACAAAATTCTTCAGAGACAGTAAACATCCTCCTTGTTCATCACTGATGGACAATCGTAAGAAAAAGCCTCAGTTGTGTGATGCTAAACATTTATTTATTTTTATTTATTTATTCAATTTTTATACCGCCCATCTGGCTGCCAGGCCACTCTGGGCGGTGTACAAACAAGCGACAACAACATGACAACAAATGTACAATAACAACCATGAAATTAAAATAAAATAAAATAAAATCGGTTAAAAATGGGAAACAACTACAAAAACTACAAGAGAAGACATAATGAAATAAAGAAAAATAAAATAGAAGCATGGCGGTGGTTTGGAGTTAATTGTTCAGGCATTATTGTACCATAATATATGTGGATCTGGAAATGCTTCTCCATATCATTTAACATGATACGGAGAAGAATATCTTCATCTAGTATTAGGGTCCAGCCCAGCTAGGAGGGTATAGAAGAAGGCAACTCCTTAGTTTTTATGTTCTGGAATAACTCAACAGTTACATTGGAGCGAAATGAATATAAGGACATAACTGATCAGTAGTAAGACTTCTCTCTTTCTCTTTTTTTACACTGGAATTATGCTGGATGCAAACTAGTGATGTGAAGAAGTCTCATTTAAGGTAGAGACAAATTATCTCATCTTTGGTGGGGGGTTTTAAAGTTAGGGTTTTTAAAAATTACAGTACCCAGAACCCCTTTACTGATGATGCAAGTTGGGGAATTCCTGGTCCACAATATCCAAAAATTTCTAACTGCTTGGTGAGAGTACCTGTCAGAATTCTCAAGCCCTTGTCTGTAACACAAGATTAGGATGGATGCCTTTCTCCCTGTTGTGGCATGTGCAATTTGTGCAAACTACCTCCTTACTGATGATTAGGGCACCAGCCTGTATCCATGCCAGTATCTTCCCAGCCCCTTCAGCCTCATGAGTCATCCCATTCACACAGCTCATGATTTGCAAACCATGCATTCCTTCCCATCCTTCCCATCAGGATTTGTGTCCCTCCCTTTTCCCTGCAATAGCCTTCCCTAGGAGCATGGCCCCGAGCTACCTTGTCTAATAAAGAAACTTGACTCAGAGTTGTTGTACATAGCATTTTATTGAGCAGATATCTCTCCTCAGAAGCACCCTTGTATCTTAGACAATGAGTAGACAGACAGCAGAGAGATATGTGCATAGTGCTGTGTAGCTGTGCTACAGGTGATGCAGACCAGCTACAGGACTTGGGCAGCTCAGTGGCTGCAGTCACACATGGCTGGGTGGTTTTGGAACTGCACCTGTAGCACAGCTGGCTGTTGATTCCAAATCCGGATCAAGGTGAGTGTACCGGCAAAAAGCATCCTTGAGCCTCGTCAGAAATTCATTTGGGGATTCCGTGGGTTTTTTTTAAACAATCTCATATACTCTCTGAAGGTTTCACAGCCCTTGGCACTCCTAGTTTGAGACCATGAATTACAGCATTTCATGCTGCTTTCAGCAGGTGGACCCCAGCAAGCTTATTAGGATTGGGATCAATAACTCAGGTTATGAGGGCTGCTGCTTCAGGTTAATCAACTGTTCCATTGCCATTGGCTATTTGTTGAACCCTATGAGTAGTATACCAGACGTAGGTCTTAGCAAGCATTTCTCATCTTTGCTTAGGAGGCTGCTTAGAAGAGTGGTGAGTAGTAATGATCCGTTGGATCAAGTCCAGGTACTTCTGAAGGGCCTCTCGATATGGTGGAAGATCTTCTTTTCAGTTAAATAAATCAGCCGTGGGGAATGGGGTATGGGCCAGAACTAATTTATTTCCCATTGGAAGCTCCATTAAGGGGAGAACTTTCTCCATAGGTTTAGGTGTATTAAAGCGATCTGGGGGCACTCCCTGTGTGGTTTGTTTTAGTAAAGTATTTTCTGATTGGTCACAGAACTGTACATAAGTCATGTGTAAAATGAACGTCTTTATCTGCTGTAAGCCAGATCACTTTTTCCTATCCTGTCATGTCATGTCATGTCATTACATACATGTCATGTTATGCTGTCAGAGGAATGTCTATGCTTGTGGCTTTTTTGGGCTTTTTGGCCATGTTCTGAAGGTTGTTCTTCCTGACATTTCGCCAGTCTCTGTGGCCAGCATCTTCAGAGGACTGGAATAGGAACTCTGTCCACATCAGGAAGAACAAGCTTC